ATAATTTCTTATTATTTATATTTTTTATAACATTGTTTTATTAACGCATTTTAATGTATTATTCGTTCATAACATAACATTTTTGTTTTTAAATCATTTTATTTATTTCATATAAAACACAAACAACTACAATAGCCTATTACTTTAAATTAAAAAGTAATGATTATTATAATATGTAACTAATATGTAAGAATTTGTTTGTTTCCAAGTACTTGTTTCCAACCGGAATTTAACCTATTTTGAAACTTTTTATAAATCTATCTGATAAATTACACCATGGGTTGAAAATTGTACTGTTGTGCGCATTTTTTATTTAATAAACAAGAAAATTGTGTTTGCAGTAATTTTACATTATTTTATTATCATTTTAAATTAAAACGCTCATAAATTCTAAATCTACCGGGAAATATCCATCGATTTCTTTCATTATAAAAAATCGTAATTAAGTGTGTACCGTGTTTAAACGCGGACAGAAATTAAAAAGGTTCTATATATTGTTTAAGTACATCATATACCGTTCTTCGGCTATCAGAAATTACGCCAACACCCCCAACTGAGGCTCCCCGTGGCTTACCATCGCCGTAGGTGATCAAGCATTAAAAAAATCAAATTCTTGTACACTCGTATTCCGCATTCAATGCAGAACAAAAATACTAAACGGCATGATTGTATGATAAGCACTAATGACAGTATTATTTATTAATCTGGACACCAAGAAGACATCATTATTTAAAACTAAGTTATCATTTTTTACATCTTAAATAATTATGAAAAGAGTTTGAAAATTGCTACTTGTTCACGAAATTTCTTCATAAACGGTGTACTTTTTCCGAGGTATGCACTAAGGTTTGTTTTGCGTGTAATATTATTTTATTTATTATAATAAATAGAACAATATTACATAAAACTAACTTATAAGTTTACTTTATGGTAATTTAATAACATAAATACTATAATGAAATACACAAAAAATTTAAATAACCAAAAAAAAATCGATTTTTAAGTAGTCATGATACAGTATAGATTGAGCCATGAAACTACTTTCGATAGTAAAATATTTTTTGTTTTTTTTTTTATTCATATATCAACATATTTTTTGAGTATTCAAAATAAATTATTTTACAATCTGTGTTTTTGTTTACTATTTTAGTTTCCATAGAACAATGAAAAAAACTAGGAAATTATTCAATTAAATTAGCCAAATGAACAAAATTTTAATATAAAAATTGTGTTTGTATATCATTGTTGTCGGAGAAAATATATTATACCTGAACTCCAATGGAGACGATTACGTGATGAGTTTTATTCTCAACTTATCTATAGCAATGTTAACTATTATCCAGCAGTGCCATATTTGTATACTTTTAATATAATACAAGAATGTAACTAACAATTACTAATTCATATTAAAAAAAAAAATCTCTTTGGAAGACATCCAAAATAGTGTCCACGCCACGGACGACATTTAGAATACATTTTAATTTTATTATGTGATGTTTTGTAAATAATGCATCGGCTAATAATTAAAAACTCACTTTTATATAAAAAAAAGTATGCATAAAAGCATATAATAAAAATGATATCGCTGCTGGTGCCCGTTATTATATTATTGTATACATATTTCAATATTATATCTTAACGTTTAATTTAAAATATTAAAGCTATGTTCAATATAAATCGTAATATTATTGACTATAAATCTCACAGCGTTGGAACTGGACGTCACATGATGTGTGTGTTTTAGTTATTTTTTATATACAAGTAGAAACGTTAAATTATTGCCGACTGTATGAAACAATATATAAATAAAAATAGTAGTATTTTTAATAAACTTGTATATTCAATCTGTCTGAAACCCTTCTGTCCGTTGAAAAAGTCTGTTCGTTATAACAATAAATTCATATTCGTCATAAATAATACACCACTGAGTAACACTTATAAGCTTATAAAAATGTCTACAGATTCTAAAGTATTCCATTAGAATTATGATGTATTTGATTATGTCATAAATATTTCATATTATTTATTTATATCAATTATAAATTAAGTTTCATTTTAACAATTCGTCAAATAAAACCCCAAAAAAAATATATTGATAATATTTTTTAACTTATTTTCAATTATGATTTAATTTTGAAAATAAATTTGTTTTGTGTCAGCAAAATGATTTTGTCTACAAAATGATTCTTTACATTTCATATCACTATTTTGGTAGTTCGTATCGACACGTTATGTGTGTCGACAAAATATATTGTTTTACTACAAATACCAAAAATCACTGTTTTAGATTGTCGTTTATTATTAGCGCACATCCACAAGATTATTTCAAAACCGAAAAGACGAATGTAATAAACAAGTACTCTTCGTAAAAAGACGGGTCGCTGCAGTTGGCCACGCGCTGTCCGGACGTCCAAAGTTAGCAGCGTTGACGGTTCGCGGTGTCCAGTCGCAGGACACGTCCAGACTCGGTGGCGTACATTCTCGACGTCGTGAAAAAGGGTCGAGCAGCCGGTCATTGTTGGACTTTGTACCACACACATATCGTATTCAGTGACAATCAGTCAAACTATCACAAAATAAGGAGCGGTGGCAGACAAAGGTGGCGCGGGTTCCCATGTTCTGTATGCCAGAGAGCGCCGGGGCTTGTGTCAGAATAAATTAAAGAATAACGTTGTCATTATTCAAAATAGCATTGATTTTACAAAATTTAGTAAAATGTGCAGTTCTAATTATGAAAATATTCATAAATGTTATTTATCGGAATAAACCTTATCGTCTTACAAAAATATATAGAAAATACTTTTTTCTACTAATGTGTACTTAAAAGTAGTTGTAAACAAAATATTCAGTACATTAAAACAGGCCATTGGCGTTTCCTGTTAAAACACGTGTTTGTGTTTTTTTCAAAACAACAATGATTCACGTGAAAAATTTAAACGTGGAAGTTTATTAGATGAAATGTTTTCAAAAATTATAATTATTATTTTTCCATAAAATAAATTACAAGTATATATTAAACGCAACTATTTTACAATTATTATAATGACATTGGATATTTAAAAGTAAATTGTGTTTCAAATCGTTATTTGCATGATTCATTGATAAGATATAGAAACTTTTCTCGTATAAATAATTGAAATTTTTTTTTTTTTAATTTTGTGAGAAAAGTAATAGCAATTTTACTCATAGTCGCGATTCCATTAACCGCCTACGGCCTTATGATGCCCACGTATAAGTAGAGTTACACGGTTTGTTGTTATTATTATCATTATATTTTTTTCTCTTGGCATCCATCAATTGTCGTGTAATTGAGACTATTATATAGAAAACACGACCGGTACAGGCGGAAGAACAAAATCCTCAGGGCTTCGATACGTAATTACAGTTCTGAGTTGAGTATATAATAATATTATTCTAAAAACAGCCCAACATCATCTACGGACGGTTCGATTTTTGTGTTGTATTCTGTTTTCCATCATTTTTTTTTCTCATTTATTTCAGAATATTATATTTTCCAATCACTTCTTGGTCACGCTATAGCACTTCCTTTACATTGACGAGACGTTCGCATACGTATTACATCGTAAAATACTCATTACACTATACATGAATATATATATGTACCCATTTAAACATTATTATTATCTATCAAGTGTTCACTTATCTAAGTACGTAACATTACATATATCAGTCATGTGCACGTCCTATAACACATATTTAGACTCCAATTACTCAACTTATTTCAAATTAAATTACTCGTATACGGGAAATTTAAAAAACAAAATCCTGTACAACAAAAAAATAAGTGGGATTACACTTTTCTGTACGTTTTTTATGTAAGATTTGTGATAATTATTCATTTTATGTATTTTGATACGTTAATATATGTCATACGTTAATGTGAAATTCAAAATCTTTATAAATCAACGTTTCCAGTTTTATACTATTTCATCTAGTTCAATAATAAAAATGTGTTATTTTAAAGTAACATTAAAATAATGTAAAACAACTCAGTCCATTTTAAGTTATTTTAGTTATTTTTAAGTTATTTTACAATAAGTGTACTGTTTGAAAACGATACGTTCATTGCAACAAACGAATAATTATTATTTTGCCTTGAATTGTTTTTAATTATAATCTTACATTACGTGATAAAAGTTTGATTACTTTTCTCTAGTGTTGCGATTGTATTTTTTCTCCAGTAATGTTTTTCGTGCATATATCTGTGTACTGATGTTTTTATGCGTTCCCGTTAATAACGTTTGCCATCGAATGTAAATTTAAACAAGTGGTTAAAAAATAATTTTTCCCGAAGAGTATTTATTATGATTATTTAACTAATATTTTATATATTATTGATGTTAGAAATATATATATAATAGTTTATCTCCATAAAAGTGGTACTTTGACAATGTCCTTAATTTAAATAAATCCTTTATGAAATTTCTATGGAAAATTTTCTGAAAAATTAAATTATAGGAGGCTAACTCAATCAAATTTGTGTAGGATACAAAATCGACCAATGTACATTAATCAAATAGTCTACAAAAATATATTTTAATGTAAATAACAATAATATGTGGCCAATTAAAAGTGTACTCATTTATTTATTGTAAATCTATAGCTTAATAAAAAAAAATGTATTTGTGATGACTCTTCTTCAGTCGTAAACTGCGTGAACACCTATTGCCACAAGGTGCACAATAATAGGGATCTTGAATATATAAAAAATAATAAAATTCACTGCATTTTTCGATTTTGATTGAAGTTTCCTGTGTGGTGTTAGTTCTAACTGCCACAGCAGCGCGTTCCCCTCGTCCAAGTAAACGAAACCTTTATCCTATTAGTTTTTTTATACAAACCTTCAACACACATGTATACGTATACAATATTATCGTAATGTATATGCAATACACACACACACACACATACACACATACAAACACACGAACACATATACATGTATACGCAGAGGTCGCGTGATCAACTGCATTATGCCGGACGCGTGTTTATTTTCGCATGTTGTCAACATAAACAATAAAATACAACTGTTTGCGCACCCAGTGTTGCTTTACTAATGTTGTAGTCAGAACCATGTGAACTGCTAGACGTTATTTTTGCAAATAAAATTCTACCAGGAAAATGTACATCTTGTATATTTTTCGTTAATATAAATTAATATTAGTATGCAATTAATTTTGGTTTTTTTACAGACATAACTTTGTATAACTATGGTAATCTACTAGCTACCGTTACTTCAAGTATGATCGAATGTTTACCGAATCCCAAGACGATATAGCAATCAATGTAAGTAAATAAAAGCAATTTGTCATATTATAGCCAGCCCTAACTTTAGCTAGTTCGGGACAAGAAGATTTTTTTTAAAAGATATAGAATTTGATTTTATTAATCATAAATACTCGGATACGAATTAATTCATTTTATGATTTAAATTTGAATAGAGACATATCGAAGTTGGAAATTGCCTGGAAACCTATTTAATTGGCTCACATTGTCAAAAAATGTGGATTTCATTGCAATTTTTATAACGGTTTGTTGAAATAATTTAAGTATTTGTTATCAAATAATGGTTATCTTTTTAAAAAGAACCCTGGATACTACTCTGACTTGTGTTGAAATCTCTTTATTATAAAAAATTCAGCGTTAATTTTTATTCAAAATATGTTGAATACATATTTTTATTAGATTTAATATTAATCACCGATTGTCTATATTTTTTCTGTTATAGTTAATTTAATATATTATTGTTCATTTTTTGTGTTTAAGCATATTCGATTAATAAGCGGTACCAGAGTCGTGCTAAGAGATGACCAACGGTGCAAATGCTCTAAGACAAAACACATTTGAAGGGCGCTAAAAAAACATTAAAACTTCCTTTTTTTTTGCATAAGATGTATCTTGTTTAAAATATATTAATTAGGAGCTCCGAATATATGATTTCCCTAGGGTATCAATAGCAGTTGGCACAGCACTGGGAGGCCGTTAGAAGTAAGACCGAAAAATCTGGAAACATAACCCTTTTAACAGTGTCGTCGTGTGAACACGGCAATGTGACAGATTGTTGCCTTATTGTTGTTTTTAGGACCTCGCACTTCTACACATGTATACAGTTCTAAATTATACAATTTTTCAATTTTATTCAATACTTGATTGTATATTTAATTATAGAAATAAGTATACGTTATAATCATAACGAAAAATATATGAAAAATATCAATTAACGTAAAATGTGTGGATTTTCGTTCTCGCTGACACAAGCAATAGCTTTTAGTTCAATATCTTGGAAGGTATGAAGATTTTTAGAATATTGTCATGAAAGAAAATACTTTTTAATATGATCTATATCTAATATCAATATGATAAGAATTGTTACCAAATAAATTTATTGTTATATAAAAATAGTTCAGTGTAATTTTTGTTATATTAAAAATGACGAATCAAAAAATATTTAATCATTAATAAATAATAAAAAACTTTAAACAGTTATGTTATGTTTAAAAAAAATAATAATAATGATATTATAATACAGTTTTAATCAGTGTTGAATTCAGAATTATTTTCTAGGAGAAGGGGTTCTAAGCATTGGAGCAATCAGAAAAACATTGGTCGCTATATTTCCATAATATTATTATAAAAAAAAAAAATTAGATGAGCAAGAGAATAACAATGCTATTTAACGAACCGTTTTGCGTCAATTTTCGAAAATAGCTATATTGTCACACTGAGATAGAGTTGGGCTATCCAAATGTCAAGTATACCTGTATTCAACACTGACCATAATAATATATTATTAAAATATATTTTTGGTATATTAAAATAGCTACGTTTTGGTCAGCTAAAAATAATTCTGTGTCTAATGTTTCTCAAACTGTCGAAATATTCCCAAGAAAAGCTACTAAATAATATGTAATTTGTTCGAATGCCATGAACATCCACGTGCATTATAGTCCTGTCTGTGAAAATATCTCCGTTCACTGGGCGTAACCGTCGGCCATCCAATGAACAGCGGTAACCGGTTGCATTGTTTCCTCGGGTGCATTGTGCATGTAATAATGATAGTAATAACATTATCGACGTCGGAACAGACTGAGTAATAATTGACGTGAAGCAATTACACTTGACGGCCGCCATGTTAAAACAATTTTCAGAAATATATAAGTACTGTAGAGTATAAAGTAGTGAATGAACCGGACATAACTTTTCAGCCAATCGAAATGTGAGAAAATGTCGAACGCAAAACTCAAAATTTAAATAAACAATAATATATTTCTGAAAAAAAAATTGTTTAACGTGTTGATAAAAACCTTTTACTTGGACATTATTTAAAAATTTACAGAACCGACGATAATTTCCATACGTGTGGGAATTTTCGGGGGAAATGTCATCGTGACATATGTATGACATTTTTAACGCACACGTTAATTTTACACACAATTGTGTGACTATTTTTTTTTTGTTAAAATCACTAGTTATTTTTGGTTGCATTCCTAGAGTAGATTCCATAGGCGGACCCAGAGTTTTACATTTGAGTGTGCTCGAAAAATATATATATTTTATTAATATACATGGGATTATTGGAGGTTTAATGGGTTTTTGGGAATTTTATGAGGTTATATGCGGGGAGGGCGGGTATAACTTGTAATAGTGTGTATTTATAAATGTGTTATAAATACACTCTCAACCGCGCTACATACCACTCTATGTTTTAAATCTTGTAACTCAACAAGTACTTATCCTAAAGTTGTTATTAACACATCAATATTTATTTTAAGAAAAGAGCTGAGGTATAGCTATTTTAAACATTTAAATATCACAAAATATCGAATAAAAATTTTTTTTTTTAATTGAAATAAATTTAGTCCAATTGTAAGCAAATCCGCATGCAAATATCTCCATTATTTCAAAAGTAATTCAACTGAGTAAAACACAGCGGGACACCTGTAGAGGTTATGAAAAAAATGTACATATTTTTTTTTGTATTAACTTTTATTATAATATATAATTATTAAATGTCTTATTGTAATAATCTTCATTGAAACGGCACAATACTTTTAAATTCTTCTATAATGTCAGAGGCTTCAACATTGTCTGTTAACTCTCGTTCGACATATAATAACATGAGTGTTTCCAATCTATCTTGTGTTATAGTAGACCTTAACTTCGATTTCACATGAGTGAATTTAGAGAACGCTCTTTCGCGACAGCAACTTGTTACGGGTATGACAGAAAAAGTTTGAATTACTGCATTGAAAGCCGTTTAAATGTTGTATTTTTCATTTTCTTGCATCCGCTGGATCCATCCACTTAATGTCGTTGCTGAATTTCCAGTAATTACTGTCTGATCGGCTTTTAATAATTTAATTTCTGCCATTAAATCATCTTGAGAAATTTTAAATGTTTCTTCTAAAATAGCTGCTTCATCTTTATTTAATTTTATATTTAAGAGATTTCCCACATTTATAATTTTGATTGTTTCCTGCTGAAATCTGAAATCTAACGACGATACCATGTTATCTAAAATTTGATAAAAACACAAACTTCGTAGTTATTCGTCCTTAGTTTCATAATTATGTTGTGTTTTGGCAGATTCGTCGAAGTGACTTGATACCTTCCGTTTTTTAACTGATCTATTTCTTGTTCTATGCACAAATCTTTTGCTTCATTAAATATTTGTTGAAATTCTGTCTCATTTCTTAGATTTATAAATGCTGGTCATAGTAATAATGAGATTAATATCAGAACTTTGTAGCAATTTGCTTACTTTAACTGTTAAATGAAATACGGGGTGCATCATTGTTAACCCGAATATGAAATTAAAAGACTTTACTTGATTAACCAATTCCTTTAACTTTAACATCACTTTGTTTAGTTATTTCAATAATTTCAGTAAGAGCTCTAAAGATGGGTAAATAATTAACCTTTATCACAGCAACAGCTTCTATGCGACAAGCCCACCTAGTCGTAGAAAGAGACATAAAAGTTCTCAATGTTGATCCAATATCTATAGGATATTTTTTCAAAAGTTGCGTGTCTAATTTAACCTAAAAAAAAATCTAATTTAACCTTGTCTGACGTTTAACAATCAAGAAAATCTACATTCCGATTTGACTTGGCAAGCATTTTCTGTTTATTTTCATTTTTTAAATATAGGGCTTTTTCGAAATGATCACTTTAAACCACAAGACTAATTTGTTTAGATATTATTAAAAATAATAACTTGTTTTATAACTTTAAATATTGATACATCGTCGTTTTTTTATTTTTATTATCTCTATCAAATCTTACTTCTTATTAAAGACAGATTCATTAAATGATATTCAAAATTACTATTTAGATTAAAATAACGTTATTAAATATTAGTACTTACATTGTATTGATGATTTTCGCTAAAAGTTAACGTCAAACACAAAATTAAAAGACAAGACGTGACACAAACACGTAAGCCGATTGACAGTATATCATGTTTGATCAATTTTCAAATAACTCCAGTTCAAACTCAGAACTAAATTTTTGTGCAGTTTTAAATTAATTCGTCAAAATATATTGGCACTGGGTTGTTTAAATCGAATTTAACAAACACATTTTTTCAAGGTCGAATAATGAACGTTTATATTATCCGGTCACTTCAACTTTCCTGACACCTTTATTTTGTTACTCGGGATGTTATGTTATTAATAGTCCAACTATACTGTAGTAGTTTACATTATATTAAGAACATTGATCAATATAACAATTTAGTAATATTATTATTACTATAATTGTGCTTATATTATGTTTAGTATTTTATCAAAATTTTGGTCTGACCTTAACGAAAATAACCTTAAGGTCAAGAGGTATCAAAGAGTCAATTGCTCGTCATAAAATGAGAAAAAAGACCTCAATATGTTCAGTAAGAACAATTTCTGAATATAGACCCTATTAGGATATCCTACGCCATTGTTATAAGTTATAAGTTATATTATTGATTATAACAATTATCCATCGATTATTAATGTTATTGCGAAATTAATATTGATAAATAAATAAATGTATAGTTAATAGTTTGAATGAACCATTTATCATACATATTTTATCTTGGTAATCCAAATTAACTATTGTTAAATTAATTCTAATTGCAATGTATCTATACAACTTCGATGCGAAGCTGAAGAGGTATTAATTTTATCATGATGTGTTTATTTTTTTTTATTTGTCTATCATTACTTTTTCTCAGCTCTCACTGGATCACAAATCATATCCAGTTGAAGAAATTACTCTCAAAAATTGAAAATTTTGCCCTCGTTCCCCATAAATAGTTAAAACCCCTCAAAAATGACTATTTAAAAAATCAATAAATTTCGATATTTTTTTTTCTAAAAATTGCCATAACTTATTGAAAAATGAACGATTCAAAATAATTCTTTTTGATGTTGAAATCTTAGATATATTCCTTTCATTTGATATAAATCTTTTAAAAATATGACCATTTATCTGCTTATAGGGGAAGATTCAAAATTGCAACTTCTGCACAAAACTTTAACTTAAATTTGAAAATGTTCCGGGAATACTCCGAACTTCAAACATATGTGAAAATAAAGTTAATGTTATATACTATAAGTTCAAAAAAAAAAATTTATACCGACGACTTATCTTCTATGTGAAAATGGTTGTCGTAGATAAAAAAAATGGAATTTTCGTGTTAACATTTACGATTTTATATTTTATTTTTTCAACTTTGAATTACTATTTGAAAAATGAATGGATCCATACAATTATAATTTCATAAATATTTTATGTTTATTTCTTTCATTTGATATATTTTTTTGAAAATCTGACTTTCGACCTGACCACAGGGGGTATTCAAAATAACAATTTTTACACACAAGTTAAACTTTTTCAACTCAATTTTTGAAATTTTTCCGGAAATAATGACATGTTTATTTAATCTTAAATTATAGCTTATGTAATATACTATACTATGAAAAATAAAAATTCGAGATATAGTGTATATGGTTATCATATTCAAAAATAGGCTATTTTTACGTTAAAATTCTTGATATTGTACTTTAATATATCTTATGGGGTACACTGTTTTTCAGGATTACGATATGAAACTAAATGACATGAAAAGAATGCGACGAATCATTGCCTGCGACAATTAGAACTTTAGAATTCTGTTAGAACTTTGATTTTGAATAATCCACCAATTTCTTAAAATTAAACACTATCTACTGATTTGCATCGAAGCATTTCTTATGATAGTGTAATATCACTTTCAGATAACATCTATACTAGTCCCAACTATGATACGTCCCCGCTGTGCTGGGTTTTTTATTTTATTAAGTACCTTTTAAGTATAATTTGTTTAGGTAATTCAAAGTTAATAATCCTGACGAATATATACCAGATTCGTGTCTTTCTGTAAATTGTCACACGAAGTATTTAGAAATAAGAGATTACTACAATATATCTGATAAAAAATGCAAACCTATACCGATTTATAAACTGACTAATACGAAAAAACGAAAAAGGCGATGGAATATATATTCCATTGATTTACTAGATATCTAGTAAATCAACACAAACAATTTCACCAACACCAGTACGTTAACTGATTACTCAAGTTGAATTATTTTTGGCATAGGTATGTATAGAGGCGTATCCAAAATCGAAAATCTTTTTCTTGACGTGGATTTACAAAAGAAAATTTTTGTACTCCTTCCTCATCCTATTAAAATTATGCATTTTTTTCATTAAATATGGAAATTTTACCTAGACTTACCTCATAAATACGCCTCTAGATATGTATGAAAATTGTTCGTATACTTGCTCAAATGTAAAAAAAAATTAAATTTTTATTTATACATTATAATTTATTTAAATTAGTTATCATATATATAGGCGTTAAATATAGGACATTAATTTATTACACTAGTAATTTTCAATTGAGACACACGTAGATAGTTGGATATAGAATATACTTTTGCAAAGATAAACCTATTTTAATACAACACTAATAGTTATTTTCTTTACTTTTGGGTACTAAGTATACCCTAAGCTCTTGACAAATTTCGCCACGCATATGTACATTTTTTACACTATAGTAAAAAATATGTACATTCTCGAGAATATATATCTTAAGAACTATAAATAATTAGATCTATTCATTTTAGCTCTATAGATTTGAATTTACAGATTAAAATTGAACTATATATATAACATAATTTTAATCTGTAAAAAATAAAGAAGAAAATATTGTGCAAATTTAACATTAATTCTTATTTTGCATATCAAAATAAAACGTACCATGTGTATATATGTATATATATATATGGTACATATTCTTGTAGAATCGTGCACGATAAATATTCATTACATAAAAAAAATAGAACAATATTGTTCAATTTTTTCACTAAGGAGACTTTATTTTTTCTTTCGAATTATTAAATAAATCAAAATAAAAATTGTCCTCAATTTTATATTACATTAAAAAAATTTATATTTAAAAGAGTACTTTAAAGAAGAACAATTTTTTTTTAATTATATAGATACTTACAGTCATAATAAGTGGTTTTGATAAAAAACTCATATAATATTGATAAAAACTTGCCTCCTTTTTAAAATTTTGCTAAAATTATCTTATTTTTTATTTGCATCAAGGACCGAATGTTGTTTGAGGGCTTAAGTATGTAATCACTTCTAAAGATATTATAAGAAAATAGTTTTGGATTAGAGTATCATTAATTTTTGTGAAGACTTATTATTTATACCAAAATAAGACTATCAATGAGTTATTTTAATTAAAGTTTTACATTGTTATAACGGATACTATATTAATATAACTGGTATTTTCAACTGCCACAAAAGATGGAATAGCTCAAACGACATCGATTCGAATAATTTAACACCTTTAAAAATTTTGTTACACACATTACAAAAAAAAAAAATCAGCTTTTGGAAAAGTATATTAATTACTTTAACATGCAGTACAAATACTACACTTGTTTTGTAATAATATTCTTATTTTTTTCAATTTTTGTTTTATTTAAGATTCATTATTTTTCCGACAACATAAAAGAAGATTGTGAATAATTTTTATCATCGACTCGAATGTAACCTCAGAAATTATGACACAAATTTATTTATACAATTAATGTAAAAAAAAATTTAATTATACTACTAATTTTTTTGATATGCTAATGACGAATAACTCATGCAAATTTTGAAGTAATAATTTTTTTTATTTAACCTCATTTGCTGATATGTCGACTTAAATATCTTCAAAATATCAAAACTGAATATTATTCAACTCCTGTCTTATTCGAACAGGCATTTGCGTTATTAAAATTTCTTTCATGGAGCTTCCTAATCTGCTCTTTCTGCTGTTGCTGTATTGTGGACTTAATATGTTAGTCGTTTAAAGTAATATTTTTATTTTTCCAAAATATTGGTTTTAATTTTTTTTCGTTCCTATTCATGGCTACTAAAGTAATTTACTAATTGTTCAGACATCGGTTATAGTATTAATGCTAGAAAAAGAAAAACAAAGTTTTTGGTTCGTAAAGAAATTGTAACTGAAATTTACTCAAACTGTGTTTACTTAATAAGCTTAAAGTACAACTAAAAATAATATTTGTAAAAGTTTTATATAGGATTGTTGCGTTATGATTTTATTTATTTTTCATTTGTCTTTATTTACTTCAAATCTATATGAATTCGGTTTATTTTATTAAATAAGATCAATATTAGACAAGCGGTGTTTATATTCTCTACTTTGAAGTTTGATCCACAGTCAAATGTATTTTTAAAATACCGCAAATAATAAGTATGCTCATAAAATAATAATACCTTGATATTTTTATATAATACGTGGCTAATTCGACACAATAGAACACAAAGACGATTTTCTGATCATGGAATTTATAATGTGATCTCCATGTCCCTTAAAGGAACCACAATGTATACGTAATATAAGGAACAACTCTTCAAAAATTCTGACAGCCCGTCATTATTTCTATTGATGCTATACAAATTTTCTGACCTGTCGATTACCCAAGGCCACTGCCGCTATATCATTGAGAAACCAATTTGGAGGAATTATTTTCTCATGGCGCCAATGATCTTACATTATATCAAATTATATTCTGACATAATTTGATCACAGCAGGTAAACTATCGCTTATTAACTGCCTTAACGAAATTCTGTTGCTGCTTAAATAAAATAAAATAACAATACTGTAGTTAGTGAAACAGTGGCGGATTATTAACATTTTTCTTCAAAGAATAAAATTTACTTGAAATATTTATCAGAGTTTTACCCTACATATTATATAATGTAAAAAACGATGTCTGGGATGGTCCTTGGACTATGACCTCCCTTCATTAGTTTACAACTCTAGTGAAACCACTAAATACTAGTGCAATGTTGATTTACAATGACATGAAAGAATTGCAACTACTTAAATTTGATTGCTCGACAAATTTATACTAGTCCGCAAAACTTGTATAATTTATGCGTTTTTCTCTAGTATACATACAATATAAACATGTAATATAAAATGTCTTTAAACTAGTGTGGTTATCCAGAAAATTGTCAATTGAATGGTTTGCTGCAAAAAGAATGGTAGCTCTAACTTTTTTTTATTTTTAAGACAATTATTAATCATGTTAAGCCAATACATATAGTTTTTACAATTTTGCAATGCAAATAATTTAGAGATATTCAAATTTTCAAATTATTTTGTTGAATTTAAGTTTTACAAGTTATAGTCTTAGCCAGTGATGTATCCAGAATTTTTGATGAGGATAGGGGTTACTGACTTTTTTATTTAATTAATATATACTTTTAATAGTGCTAGTCATACTTTATTGTGATATTTGGTTACAGTCTATTAACCTCCCACTTATTATTTAAGCTAATTAAATATATATGTTTCCATTAAAAAAATAAAGTTGATACCCAAGATTTAAAGAAAATTATTTTATTACAGATAAATGAAAATATATATGTATCTAACAAGAGACCAAAAAATATTTTAAAAAAAATTGAGGGGCTAGCATTAAAAAAATCAATCTGAATATTTTGGACTAAACAATACTATTACAATTATTAAGGTTTCATAAATATCGTTTCAAAAATGTCTTTTTTTTATCTAAAAATTGATTGTTAAAAAAATAATCTTTAATTAAAAATGTTAGTTATGTAATATTTATTATAGTTGTACAATATCCTAATAATATGAAAATATTATTTCAATACAATATAATAAAAATTAAATAATAATTAATGTGTTTGAAAAAATTTATTCTTAAAATTCTCAAGATCATATATTTGACCATATTCATTAGATACATCCATAGAAATAAAGCAGCTCAAGTTATGCTCTTGATCTAAAATAAAGTTCATACTATTATAACTATATTATTTCTTAAGTGAGACTTCAAAATTAAATCGCTAATTATAACCAACTAAATAATAAAATTTAACCTTTATTTAAAATTGGTGGGTAGGTAGGTGGTTGCATCAGCCACTGATCATTTTCATTCAACATATGTCGTCGATCAGAAGAAAACTTCAATAAATATTTCTTTGCCTCAATAACCCTGAAATATCTATAAATAAAACCTATGAATTAAATATCTTAACTTTATATAAACTTGAATAATATAATAATAAAAAATTGATAAACATTTAAGTATACCTATTATACTTTGACTGATGGTTATCATCTCTAATAGCTTCATTTATATATTCTAAAAATGTTGCTGGAAATGATAATGAAGAATCTAAGTCAAAAACTAAAATTTTATTATTATGATCCAATAATAAAAAAACATGATAGTCCTGTAAGAATCAAAATTTACTTGAATAATATCATTCTATATGTAAATTTGTATCATATTAAATTTTGCAAAGATTTTGCATCATATTTACCCAAAATACTAAACCATCATCATGTGTACTAGATTTCTGTTTCCATAGAGGTACACATTTATTTGAATTAGATACAAAAGTGACATAACATTTAAATTCAGAAACATTTTTATTAGCACTTAAAATATTTTTAGCTAAATGCCAAATGTTTTCTTCACTAAAAATTATTTGAATTCAATATTACTAAATTTATGATTATTTTAAAATTTCAAATGAATTGAAAATTTTGGTGGCCTAAATAAATTAGTTAGGTTTATGAAATCCCTTGATATGTAGATACCATGGTATAATACAGTTGTGTTCAATAGATTTTTTTTTTTTTATTCTGCTCTTAATATCATAATTAATTGTAATACAAAAGAAAATATTTGACAACAAGAAAAAAAATCCTAATAATAGAACATTTGTAAATAATGGTATGTAGGCTACTAACTACTTTACAATGTATTTATTAAGAATTTGTTGTTATACTTAGAAATTGTTTAGAAAAAAATTAAAAGATAAAAGTATAAAAAAAATATTAAAATCTCCCACATCAGTCGTCCTGATATCGCATTACATTACATCCCTCCATCTCTTTTTTGGTCTTCCTTCAATATTCATTTCTATAACTCTTCTTGCAGTTTCCTATTCCTTTCTCCTCATAACATAACCAAATCATCTAAGTCTATTTTCTCTCAACGTATCCACGATTGACGCAACACCTATATTTTCTCTTATATGCTCGTTCCTTATCCTATCTCCTCTAGTCACTCCATTCATCCCTCTAAGCATTCTCATATCTGCTACATTCATTCTCTGCTCTACTTTCTTGTCAACCGCCCAACACTCTGAACCATACATTATAGTTAGTCTCACTACAGTCTTATAAAACTTACCTTTTAGCCTCACTGAAATTTTTTTATTGTATAACACCAAACGTTTCTTTCCACTTCAACCACTCTCATTTAATTCTGAATTTTAATAAAGGTATAAATGTCTTATTATAAATAAAGCTTATGTACTAGCATTCCAAAATCAATAAATATGTGTGGGATTGGTAAAAATGTTATTTTTAACAAATAGATAATTTTTAGGTTTTTATTTTATGTGACAACCCTAAATATTGAATAATAGCTAACTAAAATAATAAAATATTGATGAGTTTACTTCTAGTTATAAATATATATTACAAAAAAGTTATAACTGTTTTATAGGAAATTAATTGAAATATACATGAGCACAGTCTTGTTACTGCTAGGAAATTACGAGAATTACTATTTTTTTATTTGGAGTGCATAAATTTACAAAATTCGAATGCACTATACATTTCCAAGAATAAAATGATATATATATATAGATGGAAAAATAAAACAAAATTAATTTTTTAGTACAATTATACTAAGATTAATTTTAATTAAATCATACCAATAACAAGAAGTATAAATACATTCTTTTTTAGAAGGAAATTTTAAAGTAGAATCCATTTTAGTATATCAACATCAAAATCAGCTTTATATTATTTAAAGCTTTGTACACATTTTATACACATTAGATGAAATACTTATAATTGCATATCTTAGAGTAGAATAAAATAATAAAAGAAAATATATATTTCGCTAAACATATAAATACATTTTCGAAAAAAATGATAAAAGTATGCCGGCTTATTATTATCAATTGCTGTATCCGCGATTTTTAGATGGATTAATTAGGTCGTAGTTATTTTTCTCGATTTAGTAAAAATCTGGTTATGGTTTATGATAATGAATTAGACATTAATTTATGTCTTCTATTGTTTTGATAAGAAATAAATGTTTGATAAGGAAATTTAAAAATAATTTAGGCCAATCATATCATTTACTTAAAATTAATTGTTAAACTGTGAACGTCAATTAATGAATAATGTGAGCTACATCTTTTTATTGTTGACCAGTGTCATAAACAACAATCAATTGTAATATCTACCATGATCCAAATTGTGTTTTATTACATCAGAAATAATGTCTAATCTCAACACTATTACTAATGATATACTTCGTATTTCTGATTACAATCCTTTAATTACATGTACGTAAAAACCCTTGTTTCAATTATTCATTAATATATTCATTTAAAAATTTTTTTAAGATGCTGGTGACAAGGAACTATTTGAAAGTTTAAAAGTAGTATTCAGTCAATCGTTAGGGCAAGAGCCAATAGAATGGAGAAGACAGTATGGTAGACCTATGAAAATGGTTACATTAACTACAGATTTTGTTCCATTTAATAAAGATGCAGTTGCTGAACAGATCAGCAGCCGAAATCTTGTAGGTCGTCCAATAATGCACACATTTTGGACTCAGTGTTTAGTAAGACAATTTAAATGTTCTAAAATTTTTATTTTGAAATACTTCAATCATTTTGTATAAACATAATTTTCACTCGGTATTATTATATTTATAACTATTCAGAGTATTGATTTAGGATATGGAAATCTATAAATCATCACTCAGGGATGAAATTGATCAGTGGATGTGTGAAATGAATAAACACAACATAATAGACTGGGTAATTATTGTAGTTGAAACTTATGATTTGAGAAAACACAACAAATTATTATCTCGAACAACTGTTTTTGATAAAATTAAAAGTGATTTTGCGGAAAAAAAAGCAGATCGGTTAGTAAATATAAATCAAGTTTATTTTAATATTAGAAATAAATTTTTCTCTGAATACATTTTTAAAAATAATTTATAGTTGTTTGTCTGTTATAAATCCACCAAAATCTGAATTACGTTGTGGTAGTAGTGCATGGCGAGCATTAATAACTAATGTACGTCTGTTAACATTAACTGCATTTGATAGACTTTTTTTAAAGTATGAAGACTACATACGAAGTTATAGAGAACAGAGAAATGATCCATCTTGGAGTTTTTGCAAGTATTTTTTATATCAGGTAATTGAACTCTTAAAATATTTAATGTTATTTTTATTTAAAATATTTGTAATTTTTTCTAGGAAGAATTAGCTTTTGCATTAGAAATGCTTGGACTTCATGATGAAGCATTAGTTCAGTATGATGAACTAGATGCTATGTATACACAATTTATACTGAACTCTTTAATTGGAAGTGAGTAAATATCCTTTTTTAATTAAAAATGTTTTTTTTTTTTAAAGTATACTCGACACTTAATATAAAATATTAGATGTGCCAGAATGGTTAACTGAATTTCAAGGCTCCCTAGAACGATGGGCTGCTGTTTTATTTATTGATAAAATAAGTCGTAAGCAAAGAGATGCTATCAAGAAAAAAAAATTATCATTCTTAGAATTTAGGTGCTATTTATTTTCTCGACAAGCATCTTTATTAATAGCTGCTCGAAAACCATGGCTAGTATGTATACATTTTACATTTTATAAATTAAATTAATATAATTTATATATTATATAAGGTATAACTATTTAAATATTATATTCTATTTAAAATATTTATAGGTAGCAGAAAGAGCATTACCATTCCTTTATCAAGCAGTAAGTGATCTGTCGACTTTAGAAATTAAATGTCCACCTGGTTCTATTGCCTGCTGGGTTTTACAATGTATTGCTCAAATTTTAACTATTTGCCAATCTGTTAAAAATTCATTAAATTTGGAAGAATGTTCACACCATACTGCTCCTCTTTTGTATTATTCCTTAAAAAAGGTAATATATTGTAATTGTTATTACACTACAGTGGACCCCCGGTAATCCGACAAACGTTTTGTAGGTCAGTGTCGAACTATCAAATTTGTCGGATTATAGAATATTCCCTAAAGACCTCCTATAGTCCAGAACTTTTAACAAAAGAGTACCTTGTAATCCGAAAAATCACAAATCCAAATATAAGATTTGGTCTTGACAGGCCCTAGTGTGAAGTATAAATCATGCTTCATTATGTATGTCGACTTAAGTAAATTAAACAACACAATAGAAAGCTTATGTTTTATTATAAAATTAACGTCATTAATGCTAGAGAATTTACAAAAAACAATAACTTTACATTAAGGAATACAATTACAAAGTAATTGTGTTTAAACAAATGTACATACTAAAATAATAAAAAATTATAAATAAAAATCATAATATGAATTTATGAAGCATGAAAATATTTATCAATTTTTTTTCGCTTAACATTGTTGAAACGCGAGACCAATGCTCTGTCCCTCAATCTTCTTAAAAGTAAAAGTTCGTTGTAGGATACACCATTCTCCTCGGCCTATTGCAAACCCAGTTTAAAGGCGTTAGCTGTATCTTGTGCTATCACTTGTGGAGTAGTTGCAATTACGTCGTCGTCATCTTCCTGATTTATGGTTGTGTTACTAGATATCTCTTTTATAATCTCATCGTCAGACATTTTATAAAAAATATTATCCTCCTTATCCATTCCATGGTACAAGATTTCCAAATTTTGCGATCTTATCTGTGTTTCACAACACAGCAACTTTCTCTATTATTTCCGAAGTTACACTGATTTGTGGATTGTTGCTAGGACTGGTGACTATATCCGGCCATAACTTTTTCCAAGACGATGTAATAGTTGACAAAGGTAATGCATTCCACGATTGACAAAGAGCAAAAACCAAGTCTTTCATATTGAATTCTTTTAAAGTTTTTTCTATTGGCTGATCTTTTGATACAGCTCTCAGAAGTAGATTTTTCTTATAATCTTGCTTGACAACCTGAATGATATGCTGATCCATTGGTTGAATCAGTGTAGTGCAGTTTGGTGGAAGAAACATAGCAGTGATGCATTTATCCTCAGTTGTCACTTCTTCTTCAGACGGATGACTGGGAGCGTTATCAATAAGCAATAACGCTTTTTGAGGAAAATTATGATTTTTCAACCATCTATTAACTTCTGGTACAAAGCATTCATCAAACCACTTCTTGAATAGGTCTTTTGTCATCCACGCACTTTTATGACCATAATAATGTACAGGCAAATCAATGTTTTTGAATGCACGTGGATTTTTCGATTTTCCAACGACCACCATTTTTAGCGCATGTGTACCCGCAGTATTTGCACATGGTAGTATGGTTACACGCTCTTTACTTACTTTCGCCCAGGTACGGATTTTTCGTTATAAAAACGAAAGTTTTGTTTGGTATCACACGCCAAAAAAGTCCTGATTCGTCTGCATTACATACACATGTGATGGGTTAAGATTTAAATCTTTCCACCTCATGGCTCTATACAGGTAGTATCATTAGAAAGTTTCTCTCCTGTTATAATCATTAAACGTATGCCATGACGACTTTTGAAACGTTCTAACCATCTCTTGCTAGCCACAAAATCATTTTTTTTTATAATTTCCTTATAAAAAAACTTAGCTTTCATGGCCAACATGGGTCCCGAAATTGGTGCATGCCTATTTCTTTCCTAAAGAAACCACATGTACAAAGTTTCTTCCACTTCTGGATATTCAGCTTTCTTGAGTGTCTGTCTCTTGTCTGGCCCACAGTCAGTAGTTGATACGAAGTTTTTAATCTTCTCATGTTTTTTTTAATATCATAAATTGTAGATCGGCCTACGCTGTATTCACTTGTTAAACTACTAAAAGATTCATTACGATTTAAACGGTCTAAAATATCACATTTTTCTTTAATTGTCAGTGTTTTGTGCTTTCGCTTCTAGGCTTGTGACGACATAATTTACTAGGTACGTATACGTAATACATAATGAATAAACAGTAAACAAAGACTCTATACTTTGAGCACAATAGTGATGGCACAATTGTAACCTGTTCAATCATGCATTATCTACACTAACGAAGATTGTAAAAAAAATACCCAATAATAATAGACATGTCGGATTATAAGGGGCGCCAGATTAACCAGGGGCCAGATTACCGGGGGTCCACTGTATATATATATATATATATATATAGATAGATAATATTATATTATATATATTAGTATATAGAATTATACTTTTCTAAATAGTAATCATTATTATTTTAATGGAACTAATGAAATTTATGTATAATATTAACTCTATTATTGTGTTCTAGTAGAACGCAATCATTTATTTTGTTTATTTAATATTGTACTAATTGATAAATTAGTAATTAATATTGTATTACTATCCAGTCTTGGTTTAAGGATATGTTTTGGTATGATATTTAATTAAGAATACCTATTTTGTTGATAAACAGAATAATGAAGTCGTACATTGTTGATTTTAATAGGTTAATTATTTTAATTTTCATAAGGTTAAAAATGTAATTTTATCAAAGTTTAAATTTTCGTTTGACATATTTATATCACTTAAAATATATACTTCTAATTAATATTTAGTATTAATATTTATAATTTAGATCGTCATTAAATTTATTAATATTTGATTAGTTATACGAACTTGGAAGTTTATGTGGTTTACTACCGGGAAAAGTCCAAACTACTGAACATCTCCATAATGTGCAAGTTTTATGCAGTGGTATGCAGAGTGGTCATGACTTATCTGCTGCGACTGAATCTGTTGCAACACTCAAAAGGGCTCTNCTGCGACTGAATCTATTGCAACACTCAAAAGGGCTCTATCATCTTCAGATACATTTAGTAAACATTATTTGGTAATTAAATAATTCATAATATCAATGATCTTAGTTTAGATGATTAAAACGTAATAAAAAGAAATGTTTTGGAATAGCTGAATTTGCTTTTTTATTTACTTATATATCAAACTAAAGAGAATAAAATACTTTCTTGTTTAAATTTATCTGTATTGTTTTATTCTTAACTGAAGTCTTTGTGAAAAAACAAACATTATTTTAACTTTGAATTGAGACTTTAAAATTTATCATTAACTTTTTTATGTTATTATAAAGCATTTCTTAAAAAATAATTTTTACTAATTAAAATATTATTATGTAACACAAAGGAAGTTGCTGAATTAGCTATTAGTGCTTACAAACATAACAAATTAATGAGGTGTGCACATAGTTTAGTTGGTTTGGAATTGGCCAAATTTTACACATTATCTGGTGATACTACTAAACGAACAATGTTTTTAGTCCGAGCATTAAACATTTTTGAACAAGATAACTGGGATTTATTAGTTGTTCAAACTAATTTAGAATTAGTAAAATGTTTTAAAAAAATTGGAAATGTTGATCAGTAAGTTCTTTCCTAAAAAATCTGAAACCGTTTGAAAATACAAATTTTTTTTTTTTAATAATTTATTGTTTAAGGTTTGTGAAAACATGCCTACAGCTATGTTCTTCTCCTAATTGTAACATGCAAATAAGGCAAGATCATTTTGATCAAATGTTAGAAATGGTTAATATTTCTAATATAGGTAAGTAGAAATTAAACGAATAAACTAAATAAAATTAAAATAATTGATAAAGATAAAAAAAGTTTTCAATACAAATTTATATAGTTATTAAAATATACATTTGTTAATAAAAAAAACAGGGTAATTTAAAAGATTTTATCCAATTATAAGCTGACATTATTCACTAGCTGCTCAACTTAGTTTAATTATTCTTAAATACTAAGATTTGTCAAGTTTATTTGCATTCTTAATGAATAGGACCTTGTGATAAATTAAATGAAACCCTTCAGTACAATCTGTTTGTAATGAAATTTCAACTCTATACAGAAAGTATTTTATATATTTTGCTGAAGTCAATGCGAAATCAGCCACAATTATTTAATGTAATTTTAAATACTTATTTAGCTGAAACTTCAACTGCTTAAAACATTCAGTTCCATAAATGTATTTAAAAATCATGCTGAAAAGTTATAAAAACTAAAACAAAGAACTTAAAACACTTTATGATTTATTTTTGTTAGTAACAATGTCATCACAGATTGATTTACACTAGAAATAACTTAAAAAACTTACTATCCTTATGTATAATAAACAATTAAACTAGATCAAGCAATTGCTGAGTTATATTAACTTAAAACTGGCGGAACATTTTTGAATCACATACAATATTATTAAAAAATATAATGTTATCACAGGTTAAATAGACATGTTTAATTTGACCAAATTACTTTTTAACATTTGTAAATTGTACATATTGCTATAATTAATTTTGCTATCATAATATAATTTCTAAGTAAATTAGTATCTAATTTTAATTTTTTTTTTTGTGTCTGTGAACGCTCAATCTCAGCTCTCGCTGGACCGATTTTGATGAACAATATGTCAAAAGATCACAAATTGTATCTAGTCGAAGACATACCCTTAAAATTTGAAAAAAATTCCCTCGTTCCCCGTAAACAGGGTAAATCCCCAAAAAAATTACAAATTTAAAAATTGCTTATTTTTGACATTTTTTCAATTTTTTTTTTTANAGCGTTCACAGACACAAAAAAAAAATTAAAAAATTAAAAAAAAAATAAAAAAACACATCATAGTAAAATTAATACCTTCTCAGCTTCGCATCGAAGCTAAAAAAGTGATAGGCTACCTATTACATATAACCATGTATATCAACAAGATGGCCATTTGGCATCAACTGGTACAATGTGTTTAAATTCTAAGTCATACCTAAGGTATCATTTAATATATTAAATACATTTTTTTTTTTTAATTAATAATGTTTTAACACTATTGTCTATGTACTATATTGGCCAAAAGAAAAAAATTATGTGGAATTCCTTTATATAATTCCTTTATGCAATTCATTGTATAAATCAATAACATATTCATATTCATATTTTCATTATTATTATACTTAGGCGACAAGATAGTCATAGAAGAAAACCTTCAGCTATTTGTAGTAAGAATGATTTTTGTGACACCATCTCTAATGAAAATGTTACTATTGTGCCTGGTCTTAACTGTATAGACTTAACATTAAATGTAAGTATTTGGATTTGAAGAATAATATCTTTATACTATAAATAGTATTCTAAAAACATTTTTTAGTTTTATACAATTTAATTTTTATATTTTCATTTTTTTTCTTAGGATTCTAAAAATAAAGAGTCTGGAATTTATTTTCTAGATAAAATGGCTGTAACTTTATCTCAAAATCTAGAATTGGTCACTAATTTACCAAAATCTTTAATATTTGAACTTAAAAGTACCAACCCTACAGTATCACTTAATCTTTCTGATGGAAAGCCCTTATTTGCTGGGATAGAAGAAGTATCTCTTCTCTGTATAAAATTTGGAACAAAAACTATAAAAGTATCAACATTATTAACTTTGTGATTTACAATTAAAATAATTTTTTTTATTTAAAATGTAGGCTATTAACAAAATTAAATTAAATTCTACACCAGGCCTAACTTTTTGTCTTCAAGATAATACAGATTTCAGTTCTGATATTTACATCAATTCTTCTACATTTATAAATTCAGGAAATTCAATATCTATACCGATAACATTTTTTGCACAACTTCCATCATTAAAAGATCATTGTGGGACTATTCAGCACAAAGTATTTTTTTTTAATCTTATAGTTTATTTCAGTATCAAAACTTTAAAGTTTTTACTTACAGCTATGGGTAAAATGTGAAAATGATGACCATGATCTTGATGAAATAATGTGTGTTTCTATCGATTTTAATCTTCCATTAACCATTACTCATCGATTACATACTTGTGAGTTTCGCAAATATGTTGGTGTTAATGTAAATTGTCATTCATATTCACCTTTGGCACTTACTGTACCAAGTATAATTGGAGTCAGTCTTCCACCTACCATCACTGTTATTAAACTAATTTCAATGAACCCACTGTTTGAACCATTGACTGTAAGTTTTATTTTTAATGTTTTTATGATAACAAAAGTAGAATAATTATCATAAATACTCATTTTCCCACTGGGTTTTAAATTTTTTTTAAAGGGTTTAAATTTAGGCTGAAGATTGCATGCTGTGGACTTGAAGATCTTATAGAATTCTCTTTAAGAGGTATTTTCCTCAAAATAAGAGCACAATTTTTTCATATTATTTGCAATTTACATAATTTTATTGTTAGTGTTATTAATTAATATAATATATATATATAGTAATTCCACCCCGCCTACCAAAAAAAAAAAACCATAAATAATTTTTTCGATATTTCATTCTAAATCACATATGTTTTTTTTTTT